ATTTGAACAATGGGCCCTGTCCAACAAAATGAGTTTATTTATTTATTTATGAGACTTATATACCGCTTTAAGTGCAAGCACTCTCTAAGTGGTGTACACCAGTAAGCAATGTATATATATATATTTACATTGCCCCCAACAATCTGGGTCCTCATTTTACCTACCCCGGAAGGATGGAAGGCGGAGTCAACCTTGAGCCGGTGAGATTTGAACCGCTGACCTGCTGAACACAGTCAGCTAAAGTGGCCTGCAGTACTGCACCCTAACTGCTGCGCCACCTCGGCTCATTTCAATGTGGAGAAAAGCAACGTTTTACATTTAGGCAGGAAAAATAAAAGGTACCGACTGGGTGAGATCTGGCTTAAAAACAATAACTGTGAGAGGGACCTTGGAGTCTTAGTGGACGATCACTTAACCATGAGCAGCAGTGTGCAGCAGTAGGCAAGAAAGCTAATACAATCCTGAGTTGTATAAACAGATGCATAGAATCAAGGTCACACAAAGTATTAGTACTGCTTTATAAAACCCTAGTAAGACCACCCTGGAGTACTACAGCCAATTTTGGTCATCATATCACAAAAAAGATGTTGAGCGTTTGGAAAAAAATTCAGAGAACAGCAACTAAGACGATCAAAGGCCTGGAGACTAAAACATATGAAGAACGGCTGCAGGACTTGGGTTTGGCTAGTCTAAAGAAAAGAAGAAACAGGGGAGACATGTTAGCAGTATTCCAGTACTTGAGGAGTTGCCACAAAGATTTAGTAATAATAATAGTAATAGTAGTAAAGTTGGAATTACATGAGGCGGTCATGTAATTCATCAAAGCACCAGAGGGCAGGACAAGAAAACAGTGGTTGGAAACTGAACAAAGCGAGAATCAGCCTGGAATTCAGGAGAAACTTCCTGACAGCGAGGACAATTAACCAGTGGAATAGCTTGCCCCTAGAAATCATGGACACTCCATCACTGGAGATTTTTAAGAAGAGGTTAGACAATGACTTGTCTGAGATGGAATAAGTTCTCCTGCTTGAGCAGGGGGCTGGACTAGAAGACCTCCAATGTCCCTTCCAGCTCTATTCTATTCTAAAGGAAAAAAACAGTCCAAGCTATCAAAAACAGAACTGTAAAAAACAGATTAGAAACACAAGTTAAGATAGGCAAGAAAATGGTAAGTGAGCACCTGTCCACCTTAGACAAGTTCAAATCACCAGAGGATGCTCCACTGACCTAGAATGGCCCAGGAGTAACAGGAGATTGGTGGGAAGTCAGTCTTGGTGGGACAAAAGACAGACTTTCTCCTACATTGGATGTAATGAACGCATGAAGGATGGTATTACAAATCAGCAATGGATGTTGTTGGAATATCAGATAGTGAAAAATATGTTTGTGTCTCTTGTGGGTAATCCACAAAGCAGATGGACTTGAGAGTCAAAGTGAAGTTGAGGTTTTGATCTACCCGAAAGTGAACACCTGCACACAAGATGGAGCTTGGCCTGTGTTGTAATATGTCCAGATAGAATGGTTGCTGATGGGGAGAGGGGCAGTCATCTGTACCCTAGGAAGTGTGAGCAATCATACCAATGTTTAGATGAAAGAATTGGTTGAGTTATACCCAAAAGACAGAGGATGAAATTGATTGATTGATCAAATTTATATGGCTACCCATCTCTTGCAAGGTCATTCTGGGCAGCATACAACAATCCAGTAAAAGCTGTAAATAAGGAAGACAATACTTGTTTAAAACCTTTGTATAGTAATTATTAAAAAATAGATATTATACAACCAGAAAAAGAGAATAATGGATGGAGGGATCTTAATAATAATAATAATACAACAAGCCCATGAGTTCACCTGACTCCAGGGGTCCCTTTATTTACAGAGTAGATGACAGTTGTGACTTTGTGTTGCTTCTCTGCTCTGCTCACAGTTATTTATTGTCTTTTCAGCACCTGAATAGACTACTGTAATGCACTCTACATGAGGGTGCTTGAACAGCATTTGGAAGTTTCAGCTGGTGCCAAATGGGGCAGTGCAGGCAGTTATACATAGTCCTAGAACAGGGCTTTTCAACTTTTTCACCTATTGTACCACTTTTAGGATATGGCAATATCCGAGTACCACCAGTTGCCTAGCAAGGTGTCAAAAACTTGATGACCCCCCCAAAAGGAAAAAGTGATAAAGTACAGGTAGTCCTCAACTTACAACAGTTCGCTTAGTGACCGTTCAAAGTTATAATGGCACTGAAAAAAGTGCCCCCCAAATCACAGCCGAGCAAGACACCTGCTTGCTCACCCAGTGGCGCTCTTCCTCCTGTCTGAAGTTTTCATTGTTGTGAGCATTTCTGTTGAGGATTGGCAGCGGGGGTGGGGTGGAGGGTGTTTGGTTTTTATTCCCCCATCTGCTGAGTGGTTGCAGCAGGTTTTGGTCACTTCACATGACCCTGGGACACTGTGACCGTCATAAATATGAATCAATTGCCAAGCATCTGAATGTAACTCACAAGACCCTGGAGAGGCTGCAACATTCCAGCTGATCAGCACTTTTTCTGGGCTCAGCAGAAGCCCCAGGATCAGTGCTGCTTTCCAGCTGATTGGTGCTTCTTCAGGGCTCAGCAGAAGCACCAGGATCAGTGCCGAGCTCCATCTGGAGCCTGGCGCTGGTCCTGGAGCTTCCGCTGAGCCGACAGCCCTGAAGCTCCAGCCGTCTCTCGCTCAGGCTTGTGTGATGTTGCCACCGGTTCAGCTCATTTCCCTCCCCCGCTATCATTTTTCTAGGATGGTCGCATACCACCTGCCAGGTGCCAATGTACCACAGGTGGTACCCGTACCACTGGTTGAAAAGCCCTGTCCTAGAACACAATGTATTATACAACTGCTCCCCAAAGTGCATAGGTTGCTAGTTTGCTTCCAGGTTCAGATCAAGGTGCTGGTTTTGACCTTTAATGCACTACATAGATGGGATGAAGTCATTTTTAGGCACCTTCTCTCCCTGGTTTCATCTATGTGTCCCCTTTAGTCTGCCAGGATGGGTGCATTGTGGGTCCTCTCTGCGAAAGAATCCCACCTGCTAGGATCCAGGATGGAGGCTTTTTCCAATTGTGGCTCTCATCCTCTGCAAGACTTATTTTCATTTATTCATTGATCATATTTTAAACTATCCATCTCACTCACATAGGGCACTGAATAGTGTTCAAATAAAATATTATAAGCATAAAAGCACTATATATAATGTATAAAGATGCAAGTAATGTTAAAAATTAATTAAAGGTGGGAGGGAGTTGTAGCACCCTGAAAGTTATAAGTGTGGGCATGTTGGCAAAAGGCAGAGGAGACAGAAGGGTCTGGAAGAGAAAGAAGAGGCACAGCCGATCCAAGGTTGGGAAGGTGCCCTTGCTTTATCTGCTGCCCATTAATGAAGAGGAAAAATTGAGGTGCCTGAGGTGGAAAAAAGTGAAGTTTTGATTTTGGGCTTTATCAATTAGATAGATTTGATGTTATTGAAATGGCTAGTTTATAATATTTTGTAAAAGTAAAAAGGTTTGAAGTTGATACTCTATTGCACCAAAGGAAATTGGAAGACAATGCCTTTTTTCTTTTTCTTTCTCCCTTATCTCACTTCTCTACTCCACTTTCCCTTCCCCATCTTTTCTGCTATTTGCTTTTGTATTTCCATTGTGTTGTATATTATAAACTAATAAAACTTTCTAAAAAAAATGAGGAGGAAAAATAACCCGAGACACACACACACACACACACACACACACACACACAGAGAGAGAGAGAAGATTGAAAGACAGACCTGAGTGTAAACATTGTTGGATATTAATAGTAGAATAGTAGCAATGGTACGACAATAATAGACATAGTATAATATAGAGGTAATAGTAACATATTATCAATAGTGCTAGAAATATAAGACAATATGCATAGAAAGAACTCATAAATTTATGTTTCTATCTTTCACTTTTGTGTCTTTGATACTTTTTTCAAAATGAAACATCTCCCCAAACATTATAAACATCTGCCTGTCCAGGGTCCAGTGCTTTTGTGAATCTTTTGGGTCTAGGACATTCCAATTAGGACATTCGAGTTAGGATCCAATGATTTTCTATCCTTAGTTTGGAATGGGGTCACAGAGGGAACTGATGTGTAGTTTGGCTGATTTCAGTCTAGTATTTGAGGGCCTGCCACAAAGAAGAAGCCATCAAACTATTCTCCAAAGCACCAGAGGGCAGGACAAGAAACAATGGTTGGAAAGTGATAAAAGAGAGAAGCAACCTGGAATTAAGGAGAAACTTCTTAACAGTGAAGACAAGTAACCAGTGGAACAACCTGCCTTCAGAAATTGTGGGCGCTCTGTCACTGGAGGTTTTTAAGAAGAGACTAGACAGTCACTTGAGCAGGGGGCTGGACTAGAAGACTTACAGGGTCCCTTCCAGTTCTATTCTATTCTATTCTATTCTATTCTATTCTATTCTATTCTATTCTATTCTATTCTATTCTATTCTATTCTATTCTATTCCATTCCATTCCATTCCATTCCATTCTATTCTATTCTATTCTTTAAAAAGTAAAGACTGGAAAAAGTGGGACTGGATATCCATTCTGGGATCCTGGGGAAAAAAATGTGGTTGTCATTGGTAGAAGTCATTAAGTGGTAAGAATACCAGTTCAGTTGCTCAAGAAATACTGCAAGTGATGAAAATTTAAGGCAACATTACAAAGCACAATAATTAAAGGCTGAGTTTTTCTGGATAAAAGGGAGGGAGGTTTATGGTTAAACAGAGTTCTTTCTGGTTAAAATATTTGTATGTGTGAATAAAATTAAAATTCTTCTTGCAGACCTTTCTAAGTAGGTTACACAGAGTCAGACAGCGTCAACAGAAACAAGAAAACCTCAGCCTCATTTTACTTAGCATGTGCTTGTTGTGTTTGGACATAGATGGAGTGGAAACTCCTATATTAATCTATATAAACATGACTACATCTTTTCTTGCTTTCCTACTTAACTTTCCCCATGAGGTGACTTCTATTGTTCAGATCTGGCCTCAGCACTATAACATAGCATTTGGGGAGAAAGATGCAACTCAGCAGACCAGCCGCAGAGGCCAAGATGGAGAAGATCTCCACGGCCACCATGGACTTCCCTTTGGTGCTCAGATAGGTGGGGAGAAAGGAGACCCAAACACTACAGAAGACCAGCATGCTGAAAGTAATGAATTTGGCTTCATTAAAGCTGTCGGGCAGCTTCCTGGCCAGAAAAGCCACTATGAAGCTGATGAGACTCAGGAAACCCATGTAGCCCAGAACAGCATAAAACATGATAGTTGAACCTTCATTGCATTCCATCACAATTTCTCCTATCACAGAATGAAAATCCAACTTACTAAATGGGGGCGAGACTGCCAGCCAGGAGGCACAAAGAGCTGCTTGCACAAGGGGACAAGCCAAGACTACGATCAGTTGCTTCCCCAAGAGTTTTCTTGCCCTGTTTCCTGGCTTAGTAGCCACGAAGGCCACAACCACAGTCAGAGTTTTTGCCAACACAGATGAAATGGCAATGGAGAAGATGATGCCAAACGTGGTTTGTCGGAGGAGACAGGTGAGGTTCCTTGGCTGCCCGATGAAGAGGAAGGAGCAGAGAAAGCAGAGCAGGAGGGAGATAAGGAGGATGTAGGTGAGATTGCGGTTGTTTGCCTTGACGATTGGTGTGTTGCAGTGTTTGATGAAGGCTGCCAACACAAGGATTGTGATCAAAGAGAAGAAAAGAACTAGACAAACTAAAATGAAGCCGAGTGTATCCTCATAGGAGAGAAAGTTCATGGTCTTGGGAATGCACAGGACGTGGTTGTTGCTTGGGTGTTGGTCTTCTGGGCAGGGGATGCACCGAGCTGCATCTGGAAGAACAGGAGCCAACTGACATTAGTCAGAGAACCAGGGATTCTCTTTGAGGGGAATTGTTTTCTCAGTGAATGTAATGAAATGTCCCATGCTCCCCATCTCTTTATTTCTGCTACACATAATACAGAAGGCTCTAGAAGAATCAATCCCAGAAGATGTAATAGCAGCTATTAACTCTTGAGAGTAAGTATTTAATGAATTAATTGATTTGTTTTATTTTATTATTATACTTTGAAATTCCCATCTCCCACACCAGGGGACTTTGGGCAGTGTTCAATAAAATATTAAAAGTATATAAAAGTTAAAACTGCTGCTAATAAATTAAAAAAGGATGCATTCAATGGACCACTCTTAAAAGTTCTGAACAATTTCCATGTTGATTAGCTCAACTAATTTGCTACCTCATATTTTCTTAATTCCTCCCATGCAGCTATTCTGGATCTCGTTCCTGCTTGAGGGTCTCCTTCAGCAACTTGCCTGTTTGATTAGAAATGGTCCCTTCTGGGCAAGAAACACATCCATAGCAACAAGAATGTTTCCCCTCTGTAACTTTCCTGGCTTGTCCTGGAAGGCAGTGCTTCACACAACGGGAGAAAGGCTTAGTCTGAAAGGAGACAGGTTAGAAGAGGTGGGGGGAAGACATTGCAAACATTCAGCTTGGCTTCAGGGTCTGCATAAAAGGCGCCCCTCTTCTTCCTTCCACTGAATAGAATTTTCACCACACCACCAACCTGGTCCTTCCTGTCAGCTTTCCTTAACTGTGAAAGAAGCATCTAGTCCCCACCTGCTTAGCCCACACAATGGTATCAGGGTCGATGCTGAAACCTTCAGCTGAAGGAGCCTCTGGATCAACCCATCCAACTTTCTGCCGAAGGATCGTCATATTTGCAAAGACGACCCAGTTGAGGATATCAAATCCTGCATATTTCATCCCAGTTTCTGAAAAGGAGACTTCATCCCCAGCGGTGTTATTGAAAAGGATGTTTTTCAAGAAGGCGTGGATCTGGAATTGCAAAACAAGTAAAGAAGCAAACATAATGTCCATGAAAGTGAAGAGAGAGTTCACCCCGGGTGTCATGGCGACACGGATGAAAGAACTGGAGCTCTGGTTTCCTAGTCCGATTTCACTTCATCTGGAGACCCAAAGAGGTCAGAAAGTCACCCTGGAGAGGCAGCGAGGAGGAAGGGAAATCTTGGGAAATCGGAGCCAATGGCGGTTGGCCCAAACAGACTGAGGAAACTCTTTAAACAAGTGGGAGAAAGGCTGCCGGCAAATATGCAGACAGCCCAAGCCACAGACAGGATCCGACTCTCGACCTTGTGTTTCTCTAGGGGCAATGGAGACATGATCTGGAATTAAGGGGAACAGACACCTCTCCCTTGTCATGGACAGATCATTTCCTATTGAGGCTGGACTTCAGAGCATCACTCCCCCACTGCAGGGAGGTGGAGCCAATTAGGTGGTTCCGCCCCAGGCGCCTAATGGACCCAGATCGGTTCCAGGAGGAGCTTGGGGAAATACCTAACTCCCTTGTCCACAACTCGTCCGGGTCCCTGGTTGCGGCCTGGAATGAGGTGGCGTCCGGGGCCCTGGATTGAATTGCGCCTTTGCGACCTCTCTGTGGTGGTGGTCCCCGGAGGGCGCCTTGGTTTACTGAGGAGCTCCGGGAGATGAAGCGCCACAAGAGACGTCTAGAGCGACGTTGGAGGGACAGTAACTCTGAATCTGACTGATCACTATTAAGAGCCTATCTTAGGACTTATTTAGTGGCGATAAGGCGGCAAAGCGTGTTCACTTTTCTGCATTAATTGCGTCTGCAGAATCTCGACCGGCCGCTTTGTTTAGGGTGACCTGCTCCCTTCTTAAAGTGGAGGAGGCGGAGGAACCCTTGCAGGGGAGAGCTGAAGAGTTTGTTCAGTTTCTTTCGGACAAAATCGTTCAGATTCAGAGAGGCCTGGACTATGACTGGGCAGTGCCAGCCGAGTTGCCGGGGGCTGGTCTTAGTCATGTTATCTGGAGCGAGTTTGAGCCTGTGACCCCTGATGAAGTGGACAAGGCCGTGAGGGCAATGAATGCCGCCACCTGTTTATTGGACCCGTGCCCCTCCTGGCTGGTTTCTGCCAGTAGGGAGGTGACACGAGGCTGGCTCCAGGCGATAATCAACGCCTCCTTGATGGAGGGGTCTTTCCCGCAACCTTTAAAGGAAGCGGTGGTGAGGCCCTTCCTCAAGAAGCCTTCCCTGGACCCAGCTGTTTTGAAGAACTTTCGTCCTGTCTCCAACCTCCCCTTTGTGGGGAAGGTTGTAGAGAAGGTGGTGGCGTCCCAACTCTTGCGATCCTTGGATGAAATAATTATCTGGACCCTTTTCAATCTGGTTTCAGGCCCGGCTACAGCACTGAGACTGCTTTGGTCGCACTGACCGATGACCTCTGGCGAGCCCGGGATAGGGGTTATTCCTCTATCCTGGTGCTTCTTGACCTCTCAGCGGCTTTCGATACCATCGACCATGGTATCCTTCTGCGTCGTCTCGGAGAGGTGGGGGTGGGCGGCACCGTATTGCGGTGGTTCTCCTCCTACCTCTCTGACAGGTCGCAGTCGGTGTTGGCGGGCGGACAGAGATCGACCCCTAGGTGCCTCGATCATGGGGTTCCTCAGGGCTCGGTCCTGTCCCCCCTCCTTTTTAACATCTACATGAAACCGCTGGGTGAGATCATTCGGCGACACGGGGTGAGATATCATCAGTACGCGGATGATACCCAATTGTATGTCTCCACCCCGTGTCCTTTCAGTGAAGCAGTCGACGTGATGTGCCGGTGCCTGGAAGATGTGAGGGTCTGGATGGGGGTGAACAGGCTTAGACTCAACCCTGACAAGACCGAGTGGCTCTGGGTCTTGCCTCCCAAAGGTCAACTGGATGGTCCATCATTAGTCCTGGGGGGGGGGCAAATTTACCTCCTTCAGTGCAGGCATGCAACTTGGGTGTCCTCCTGGACTCACAACTAAATTTGGAACAACATCTATCGGCTGTGGCCAGGGGGACCTTTGCCCAGGTTCGCCTGGTGCACCAGTTGCGGCCTTATTTGGAGCGGGAGGCTTTACTCACGGTCACTCATGCCCTTGTCACCTCAAGACTGGATTACTGCAATGCACTCTACATGGGGCTACCCTTGAAGAGCGTTCAGAGGCTGCAGTTGGTTCAGAATGCAGCCGCGAGAGCGATTGTGTCACCTATCCTCCGCGAGCTGCACTGGATTCCTGTGGGTCTCCGGACGCAATTCAAGGTGTTGGTTATCACCTTTAAAGCCCTTCATGGCATAGGGCCAGGTTACTTACAGGACCGCATACTGCCGCACAGTTCCCAGAGACCGGTGAGGTCCCATAGATTGGGCCTCCTTCAGGTCCCGTCGGCCAGACAATGTCGGCTGGCGGGCCCTCGGGGAAGGGCCTTTTCTGTGGTGGCTCCGACCTGGTGGAATCAACTTCCCAACGAGGTTCGAACTACTCCCACCCTGCCAGCCTTTAAGAAAGCCATTAAAACTCTCCTGTTCCGGCAGGCCTGGGGCTGATATCCCGGGGGGGGGATATGATGGGACACGCTGTATGAATGTATTTATTTTATTGTTTTATTGTTAGATTATTGTTTTAATTTTGTACGCCGCCCTGAGTCCCTTGGGATTGGGCGGCATATAAATTTAGAAATAAATAAATAAATAAATAAAAGATTCAGTTTACTTTAGAACATGGGATAATTTTTTATCAATGGTTAGGAAAACGAACTAGTGAGAAATAAATGTGATATGTTATTCTGAATATATATTAGTAAGAAGAATGATATGCATTGACTAACTGATACTGTTTATGATTATCATTTACTACAATTACTACAGTTATTTATTACTATATCTATTATTGTTAAATGAACATATGTACCCAGACAATAGTCTGTTTGCTAAAGATTGAAAATGTTATTGGGGGATAACCCCAATGTTGATCCCAACCCTGTCCTAATCCAAATCTTGATCGTAACCCCACCCTAAACTTTAATCCCTATCCTGATCCTATTTTATCCCCAACCCCATAAATAAAATATTTGAAAAAAAATGGACCAAGCTCTTAATTGATTTCAATATTTGTGGGCTTGCATTACACAATATGCAAACATACAGAAGTATGGAGGATACATGTGAGCCTGAAGAAAATCCAGAAATGTATAATAGAATAATAACAGAATGGGAAGGGACTTTGGAGGTCCTACCCCCTCTTCAAGATATATCTTGATATGTTTCAATAGATGTAAGTGTCTAGATATCTATTAGGATCCAAATTTATAAATTGCTAGGAAAACAATTATTGAGAATCTGACCAAAGTCAAGATTGCATGATTAACTGGCTACACAATGTTGATGTCAACGCTGTTAATATAGGATATTATTGCTTTGACAAGATATTCAGAACTGTCTGGTATTTTTAGAGTTAATTCAGATGACATAGAAAGGGAGGAGATTTATAAGGAAAGCGCGGGATAAGGAACGGAAGTGAATCTTTGCCCTCCGGGCTTATTGGAAGATGCGACTTATGACTGCAAAATAAGAGAGGGGTTTAGCAAGAAAAGTCAGACACAAGCAAGAGAAATTCAGATTTTGGCATCCATTCAATATGTGCCGACAATGTGTCCATGATTAAAGACTTTTTCAGAATAAATATGCCTGGAATTTCCTTGAAGTGTTCCATTAGTCGGAACTTGACAGTTGATTAAACTATCGAAATAGAGAAATAAAAATTCAATGGAAAATCAATCAGGTCTCCAGCAACTGGCATAATTAGGGAAAAACAGTATAAGACTCTTTCCCCCCCTCTTCCAGGTATGATTGCTAAAAGTAGAAATGGAATTAAGAATTTCAAGACTTGTATGAGATTTAAATAAAGGGGGGAAATATTAGGGAAAAGACAGTCAACAGTTCATGAAACCTAAGAGTGTAAAGCTGTTTCGTTGACCAGAAGGGAAGATCTGAAGAGTTACCTGCCAGGGCTTCACAGCGAGGTGAAGGTGTGGCTTCTTTCTGCCTCTCTTCAATGCCTGTTGTGATTCCCATGTATACGCAGCATGCGATGCGTGTGCCACAGAATAGGCAGCATTGTAGATGCTGTAGCTGAAACTGGTCATTTGTCCATCAAAGACAGAGACCGGGAGCGTGTCCAGATTCTCCTGCCCTGTGCAAACCCTTCGGCCGTCAGGTGAGGCCAGACCTGCCTTCAAAAGCTCACAGTCAAATACAACTTCCCACCACTCAGGAAGAAAGACGTCTCCGTGGGGTTTGTGTGGATTCACAGCCCAGAGATAATCTTTGAATCCTGGCACCGGGTTGGTGTGGACTGTGAAAGATAAAGCGCCATGGAGGGATTTTAATTTCACCCAATCGTAGTGATAGCCAATCGCTGAAAATTCCCATTGGGTGGTCAGGATCCAGACCTTCCCCAAAGCAGCATGGTTCTCTTCTTCATAAGTGTAAAGGGATACTATAAGGTTTTTCAGAGCACTTGAATCCCCGGAGACAATCACAACATGAGCATCACTGTTCAAAATTGTCCAAAGTACATCTATTTGATTGCTATGCAATTCATTAAATATTAAGATTAGGGGCAAGATCTCTTTTACAAATTGTATGCAAATATCATTCTGAGCAAGGGTGGCATCAAAAATCTGTAGGAAGTGGTCACTGCTTTCGGAGTCCTGAACAATGATCCCAACCCAGTTCCATTGGAAATAGAGAAGGAGCTGGACAATGGCTGCATTCTTTAAGTGATACTGAGGATCGATCTGGTAGAAGGTGGGGAACAGGATCTTATCCCTCAAAACAGGATCAGAGAAGCGGTAACCTAGCTGAAGGGAGGGTGGAGATGGAGGGAAAGGAAGAGGTTAAGCAAGGAAAAGGGTACCTGTATTTTTTGTTACTAACCTCAGACCATCTAGATCAGTGGTTCTCAACCTTCCTAATGCCGCGACCCTTTAATACAATTCCTCATGTTGTGGTGACCCCCAAACATAAAATTATTTTCGTTGCTACTTCATAACTGCGATTTTGCTACTGTTATGAATCGTAATGTAAATATCTGATATGCAGGATGTATTTTCATTGTTACAAACTGAACATAATTAAAGCATAGTGATTAATCACAAAAACAAACTGGGTTTGAAGATAAGCAATAAGATGGAAAGAAAATTAAGCAATGAAACTGAGAGTCCCTGGATTAGAATTTATTTGTTGTTGTTAATTGCGAAGTCGTGCCCGAACCATCGCGACCCCACGGACAACGTTCCTCCAGGCCTTCCTGTCCTCTACCATCTTCTGGAGTCCATTGAAGCTCCCACCTCCTGCTTCAGTGACTCCGTCCAGCCACCTTGTTCTCTGTCGTCCCCTTCTTCTATTGCCCTCCATCTTTCCCAGCATTAGGCCCTTCTCCAGGGAGTCCTTCCTTCTCATTAGGTGGCCAAAGGACTTGAATTTCAACTTCAGGATCTGGCCTTCTCAAGAGCAGTCGGGGTTGATCTCTTCTAGGACTGACCAGTTTGAACGCCTTGCAGTCCAGGGGACTCGCAGGAGTCTTCTCCAGCACCATAGTTCAAAGGCCTCCATTCTTTGGCGCTCAGCCTTTCTTATGGTCCAACTTTATTTATTTATTACACCATCACATTAAAAATAAAAGTATTTCCAATCTTGTTGGAAAAACAGTGGATTCACTCCTACTGATAATATTATTTAGATCAGGGCTTTTCAACCTTTTCACCGATTGTGAAAAGGTGACTAGTGGTACTTGAATATGGCAATATTCAAGTACCACTAGTCACCTAGCGAGGTGTCAAAAACTTGACCAAAAAAAAAATTGGAAAAAGTGATAAAATACAGGTAGTCCTTGCCTTGCAACAGTTTGCTTAGTGACTGTTCAAAGTTACAACGGCACTGAAAAAAGTGACTTATGACCATTTTTCACACTTATGACCGTTGCAACATCCCCAGGGTCATGTGATTTACATTTCGATGTTTGGCAACTGATTCATATTTATGATGGTCACATTGTTCCAGGATCATGTGATCACCTTTTGCAACCTTCTGACAAGCAAAGTTAGTTGGGAAACCAGATTCACTTAACAACCATGTTACTAATGTAATCTCTCTCTTCCTCTTTCTCTCTCTGTCTCCCTCTTTCTTTATCTCTCTCCCTCTCTCTTTCTCTCTCCCTCTCTCTCCCCTTCTATTTCTCTCTCTCCCTCTCTATCTCTCTCCCTTTCTCTCTCTCTCCCTCTTTCCCTCCCTCTTTCTCTCTCCCTCTTTCTCTGTCTCTCCCTCTTTTTCTCTCTCTATCTCCCTTTCTTTTTCTCTCTCCCTCTCTTTCTCTCTCCCTCTCTCTCCCCCTCACTCTATTTCTCTCTCCCTTTCTTTCTCCCTCTTTCTCTCTCTCTCCCACTTTCTCTCTCTCTCTCCCTATCTCTCCCTCCCTCTGCCTCTTTCTCTCTCCCTCCCTTTCTCCCTCTCTTTCTCTCTCTCCCTCTTTCTTTCCCTCTTTCTCTCTCCCTCTCTGTATTTCTCTCTCCCTCTCTCTTTTTCTCTTTCTTTCTCCCTCTTTGTCTTTCTCTCCCTCCCTCTCTCCCTCCCTCTCTCCCTCTCTATTTCTCTCTCCCTCTCTTTCTCCCTCTTTCTTTCTCCCTCCCTCTCTTCCTCCTTCCCTCCCTCCCTCTCTCTCTCTCTCTCTCTCTCTCTCTCTCTCTCTGATTGGGGATCGATTTGGAGGCGCGGAGGGGAGGGGAGCAGCCGAGGGCTGCCTGTGTGACTTTGAAGTGGCCACCTTTGGAAGCACCAAGGCTGCTCCAGCCAGGCTTGAGCTGGGCAGAGTGGGCAATGGGAGAGGAGTGGGTCGATCACCTTACTGGCAGCTGGGACTCCGGTGCGCTTTCCCGGCTAGCGGGGCCTACAGTATCAGGAGCCCCGCGAGGGGGCAAGCCGGCATGAAGAGCCAAACCCTTTCTGCAAGGGAGGGACGCGTTGAGGGAACCAGCTAACCACGGGACGTAGATTCTGACGGACGGCTGGCCTGAGCCAATGAGGTGCCAGAGGACTGGGAGCCATAGTTGAAGGCTGAAATGCCTTCAGCTGTAACTGCTCGCACGTGTTTGTGTGTGTGTGAGTGCACTGGCCTGGATCAATGTTGCTTTCCAGGTGATAGGTGCTTCTTCAGGGCTCAGCAGATGCACCAGGATCAATGTTGCTTTCCAGGAGATTGGTGCTTCTTCGGGGCTCAGGAGAAGCACCAGGATCAGCTCCGGAAGAAGCGCTAATCAGGCAGAAAGGGGAGTTGATCCTGGCACTTCCCCTGAGCTCTCCCAGCCTCGGAGGAGCGCCAATTAGGCGGAAAGGGGCCGAGCTCTCCCGGCCTTGGAGAAGCACTGATCAGGCGGAAAGGGGCGCTGATCCTGGCGCTTCCCCTGAGCTCTCCCGGCCTCGGAGAAGCACTGATCAGGCAGAAAGGGGCGCTGATCCTGGCGCTTCCCCTGAGCCTTGCCAGCGGGACGCGCGCCTCTTGGTGTCGTACAGTTTTCAACGTTTCGCTCGAAGCAGGGATGGAAAAAAAGAAGAGCCCCGCTCATCACGAACTGAGAGCAGATGGTTATTGGCACATGACGAGGGAAAGAATATGATTAACACTGCACGTACGCGCGCGCGCACACACACACACACAGCGCTTGTCTTCCACTACATTTTATTCATGTCAATCTTTTTTTTCTTTGTAATATTGGGAGTTGAAAATAGTGACTCTACACAAAAGCACACACAAACACGCAGGTGGGCACGCCCTCTCTCCTCATTCAGTTCCTCTCCTTGGCTCATCCACTGTGTGTTCCTGAGGCGGCAGCGGTGGCAGCTTTGGCAGTGTCTCGGTTCCTAAGACCATCGGAAATATGTGCTTTCCGATGGTCTTAGGCGACCCCTGTGAAAGGGTCGTTCGACCCCCAAAGGGGTCGCGACCCACAGGTTGAGAACCGCTGCTCTAGATTAATAAGGTATCCTATTCTAGACATCCCCACAAGCTTGCACCTTCATGAGATGTTTTCTACCAGCCACAGAATTGGCTCTTGGAATTGTTGGCAGTAACCACGCAAGGCAGAACTTACAGCATTGACCCTTTCCTCATGTTACATGTCCACGTACCTGAGAAATCTTGAAATTGCCAAATATGCTTGCCATCTGGTATGAGGTTCTGGAGTTGAGACCCCCAAGGACAGAGAGAAGGTGGTCCTGTGTGTCACACTTGTAGTTAGGGAACAATTTTCCCCGGCTGGAGAGCAGAGACAGGCTGACATCTTGAACCATGCTTGCATACTCGTTCTCTTCGTAGATGCGGAAGCCCAGGGTGATGTTGGGGAGAAGCCGGGGGTCTTTGTTGATCTCCTGGATGGCAAATGCCAAGGCCAGGACATGTTGATAATTCTTGGGAATAGGTCTTGCTTGCAAGAGGACAAAAATTAGAGAGATGTTTATTCTGCCATTTCATTACCAACATTCTAAGAGTTGATCGTAAAACAGATCAATACAAATTAGTTGATTAGTTTTACTGCTGTCAGAAAACAGGGTTGCTGTCAGTCAGTGTATGACAAAGCCTCCTCTCCCTAACTCTGCAGGGCATTTCTGTGAGTTGATATGCAATATCAGTATTGACTTTTGCAAAATCAACTTTTCAGTCCAGTTAAGGAAATGTGGCTGATCGTCTTGATAAAACTACACATTTTATTATATGCAGCTGTGGAGATCTTAACGGCTGACATCTTCTGCCCTACATTCTCAAGCACTTTCCCCCACTCTGGAACCCTATCGTGTTCCCAGAGTCTTTTTGAATTAGGTGGCTTTATAAATCCAATAAATTAGATTAAATTGAATTAAATTGAATGTCTGACTAGTTTGACTTTTGCTGGCTAGAAATGATTACGCTGATATATGTGGATGGCCCCCAGTTAATGTCTCAGAATGTGGAACTCTTTCTGCTGGGGATTCTCCACTGACCTAGAATTGCCCAGGATTAACAGGAGATTGGTGGGAAGCCAGTCTTGGCGGGACAAAAGACAGACCTTCTCTATGTTGGATATAATGGACTCATGAAGGATGGTATTACAAATCATCAGAATAATGAGATGGGAAGATGAATTCAGTCCAGCTATAAGATGGAGGGCCTTAGCATTATTTCTCCCCAAGTTCCAATTAGTTTCTTTGCAACGTGTACCTTGCGTTCAAGAACACGGAGAAAAGTTTGACTCCCTATTCAGTGTGACAAGCTGTTCTTCTCTACTGAAGACTCAGAGGGCTTGAGAAAGGGATTAAAGGGAAATTGATTCATCAAAGAGAATCAATTTGTCCTAATGAGGAAGGCTCTACATCAACAGAAGCTGGGTTGGATTTAAGTCTGCCCCATCTTCAAGACTTCCCTTTCCACGTTGCCCTGAGAAAAAAGACAATCAAGGAAACACTTACAGAGAATAGGCATCCCAATCACTAGGAGGCTCATGTAAAGGAAGCTGTAGGACTTTAGTAATGGAGAGAGGCAGGTTTCCACCAATAATGAGATCTCCAGGCCTGTAGTAGTCTTTCTGTGCTTGGAGAGGTCTCCTACAGAAGCAGATTGGCCTCAGATCCATCTGGACGGCCGCAGGCAAGGTCCATAGCAACATTAAAAGCCAACACATTGTCCAGACAAAGAGGCCTTCTTCCTAGAGCGAGTCAATGGAGACTGATGTAGGGAATGGGATGCTCTGATGACTTCAGAGGCCTCAAGTGGGGTTTGAAGTCTTCAAGATAAGCATTCATCTCAGCTCCAACTCTAAAGGGACCCAGCTGTAGCATTCAGAGCATGTAGATAAACATGTTTTGACTGGACACAAACTTCTTTGCATTTAGGGAGGGTTAGTCTCTGGAAATCCACTGAGATGAAGTAAGAATTACTAGTTTTGATGAACCCAGGGAGAGAGAAATAACCACATTATTCCCATAACTCTGGAGTCTGTAGCATTTTGGCAAGAGGAAAACTTATTTCTGAAATGACAATTTGTGTCTCATTCTGTGCATTGGGCAACTGTGATTAGAGACTGATTCAACTTTAGAGTTGGAAGAGAACTTGGGGGTGACTTGGTCCAATCCCCTTAATGTAGGACACACACAAGGCAAACTCTTAAATCTCTGAGATCTCTTTGGAATTGACCGTTTCTGCTGCCACCACTACCAAACTCTTTCCAGATTAAGAAGCTCCCTGGGGGCTTCCCGGAAGAACTCACCATGGCCTTTGTCCTAGCTGTGTTCCCCAAACCGGCCAATGGAGATGTGTTTCAGCTACGAGGAACCTGGATGGTTTTTAATAATGACACACTTTCTTCTTTTCTTCTTTCCTTTGTGACTTAGATGTACTCTGCCCAACCTCCCTGTCACTTGAGTGGGTCATCAACATTTTAAACAAGTATTTCAAAGCCAACCACTCTGCCTGATGGAGGATTTCCTGAGGACAGAATCAAGAGCTTCCCTCAAGTGCATCAATCTGCTCTATCCTTCAGTCCCAACTATTTGTGGTTTGCACCAGGTAGGGTTAACTTTCTTTGAGTAACAAGCATAATACCCAATCATCACCATATCAGACAAATCCTCCATTTGCAGTGGCCCCAAGAGATGATAGATGCCCAATTATACATCCTCTTTCTTCATTATCCATGTTGTGTTCCTGCCATCAAGCAGTGCATCTAGCTGGTCCGCCTAGAAAGTTTAAAGGTTGGAGACCTGGCTATGCACTAGTTCCACTTAAGGACAGTTTCAGTCTGGGATGATGGAAGATGAAAGGTCAGGGGCCTAGCTATGTGGGGTGCTTCAGGGTCTGCCAGGGGCTTAGCTATGTGGGGTGCTTTAGGGTCTGCCCTCTCTCCCACCCCTCTCTATCCCTAAGCATTCTTGTAAGTTCAGGAAACATTTAAGACTGTCACACAACATTGTTTTCCTTCCTCTCTGCCCAAGATAGAACAATTTTTGAACTATTCCATTAATTAACACCCATCAATCCCTACCCATAATACACTGAGAGCATAAAAAAATAGCAGGGACTTGAGAAGATCCCTTAGTATCCACTTCACATGATCTAGTTTATTAATGAAGCATGTTTATCTAGTCATAATGAAGAGAACACTCTATATAATTTAATGTGAGAGTGAAAGTTTGTTCTCCAAGCTTGTGGATTGGTTTCCAAACATTTCCTTATTAGGCTAGGTAACATCTTCAGCAGAGTTTAGAAGATGTCAGTTGTTATGTCCTGGGCCTGCTGAGTGATTCAGCAGGTGTAGGAAGCTGCAGAGAGGCCTGGGCAGACTACGTGGATGCCCGGGACCAGACAGGCTGTCTCCAGCCTATTGCGCAAGGCAGGAGAATCCGTTGCGTTGATTGCCTGACACTGTCCCTGCAAAGGGGTATAAGAGGAATCCACGCCATTTTATATTGGTTCTGTTGTGTTCTGAATAAAGGTAAGACTGTTGTTACTCCTGCCTTGTCTCAATGCCTTTACATCGAAAACAGAACATCAGTGTTCTTCTGTTTATAAGGGCTTCAGGCGTGGGTGTGTCAAGTGATGTTTTTGTGATGGGTCTTGTGGTGGGTCAGGTGTGAGTCATAAATGAGGGGCTTGTGATGGGTCTTGTGATGGGGAGGTTACATTAGGTAAGGGTCCTTAGAAGGTGAACTGCTGGTGGGGGGAAGGGGCTTGCATGGGTTGGCTGAGGGTCGATGCTGTCTCTGGTTAGCTGTGTGGTTGATTTAGATCCTAAGGGGTTTGTACATTGGTTGTAGGTCAGTGTGTTTGTTGATGGAATTGCTTGTGGCATGCCAGGCTTCGAGGAACTCACAAGCGTGGCAGGTGGAAGTGTAGCCAATGATTTTAGTGTTGTTCCAATTGAATTGATGTTGTTTGATGCTGGTATGGATAGAGAATAATTTAATGTTTTGCATTAAAAATATACAACAAGAAATACTGGAGAAATAATAGAGAATTCTGCAAAGCTCCAAGGCCCCATGTGTACAAGTATGCTGTCAGTATTAGTATTTCTTTATTATTTCTCTATGATTATTCTTTGCCACTGTAACTGTAACGCAACTTGATGCTTCTTTTCAAAGATTCTTCATTAAAACAAATAAAGGGATAAAAGTCCTACTGTAAATCCACATCCATTTCTTCAAGATCAATCTGTGTTAATTATCACGTTGGGACATGGCCTCAGTTGAAACAAGTGGCTTTCGTAAAAAATAAAGGGGGTGGGAGACTCTTGCAGACCTTTTTATTACACTTTTGTGGTATCTTCCCTACACAAGATGACTCTGGGTGGCTAACAAGTATATTGTGACCAGTCACACGGTTGAATATGAGCTGTGAAGTGGATAACTCCCACCTTCTTTTCTTCACTTGTCTCAAATGTTTTTAAATTCTAAGCAAGCCCCAAAGTCAAACTAACAGTTTCCAATCCCTTCATTAGTCAGAGAGTCTTGTTCCCTGTTATATTTTCTCTGTGATTCTGTTTGGACCTCAGCAGGGAATGTAGCATTTGTGGGGGGATCAGATACAAGCCAAGAAACCAGGTCAGGAGGACAAAAACTACTCACTGGGGACAAGGGATATCCATGAAAAGTAAAATAGTGGGGGTTTACTGCTGTTCAAAAGGTACATTGTGACACAACACTTGACTTTCAGACTGAGAGCTTTCAGCATGGAAGTCAGTTGTAGCCATGTAAGTGTGAGCAATAATGCTAGATGTGGCAGATGTTTTATTTACGATCAGATGGAAGGGAATCATGGAAAGAAGTGTTGGAACGTCTTCTAGAGAGTTCCCTCAGATGGAATGAAGGTTCAGATGAAGAATTAAGAAGGAATAAACAAAGAGAACAGTTGAAGTGCTGAGCAAGAGACAAGAAGGAGGGAAAACAAGATGGCTTCAGGGAAGCTCTTCCACCACCAGCCTCATGAGGAAGATATTGAATAAAAAGAGCCAAAGGCCAGGAGTCAGATAAACAGGCAAACTAACAGATAGACTGCTCTGATGAGAAGAGGCAATAGAGGCGAAGACAGAAAATGAGAAAAGTAACGGGGGGGGGACTAATTGATTTTCTCCCTTCAGAACCTGACAGAGGGAAATGTTCTTCCAACCATTTTCTCAGATGGAGCCGAGAGCCGGAAGAGGAGAAGAAAGCTCTCCACGAACAAATAAACAGAAAATACTAAAGGACATTATAGACAGACCAGAAAAAGAAAATGAAAATTAATATATATCTTTTAAAATTTGCAACATTTACTTTTGTAAAATAAAAGTCTTCACCTCCTGCTCCCCAGCCACCCAACACAATCCAGCACATTTTATTGACTTTGATTAAAGTGGGAAACCTTCCTGCTGTATATTGTGGGTTATGTTTTTTTTATATCATGGATTTATTATAGGATGGATTTTTTTTAAAAAAATATTTTTTCAGCTGCCCTGAGTCACCTGTGTGTGAGTTGGGTGGCTACATAAATTTGTTTAATAAATATCCATATCTTTGATATCAATGTATATTACGCAGAAGATGATTGGGCCTTTACCAGGGACAACTGCCAAAATGTCCCATTCCAAGTAAAATTTCCCAACCCCAGGACAAATCAGACATTTTTGTGCCTCATTATATTCTCTCTACAATTCAGATGTGGCCTTAGTAGGATAATGTAGCATTTGGGGAAAAAGATACAAACCAAAAGACCAGCCCCAGAGGACAATATGGAGAAGATCTCCACGGCCACCATGAACTTTCCTTTGGTGCTCAGGTAGGTGGGGAGGAAGCTGATCCAAACGCTGCAAAAGACCAGCATGCTAAAAGTAATGAACTTGGCTTCATTAAAGCTGTCAGGCAATTTCCTAGCCAGAAAGGCCACTGTGAAACTCACGAGGGCCAAAAAACCCAGGTAGGCGAGGACAGCATAAAATATTAAAGTTGAGCCTTCATTACATTCCAAGATGGTCTCTGCTACTAAAGAATGGAAGTCCATGTTGGGAAATGGGGGAGAGGTTACCAGCCAGATAATACAAAGAACTGTTTGGACCAGGGGACAGACTAAGACAATGGAGTTGGTCAGTGGTTTTCCCAAGAGTTTCCTTGCCTTGTTCCCTGGCTTAGTGGCCATGAAGGCCAGAACCACCATGACAGTTTTTGCCAAGACAGAGGAAACTGCAATGGAAAAGAGAATGGCAAAGGTAGTTTGTCGTAAGAGACAGGTGAGTTTCCCAGGTTCACCAATGAAGAGGAAGGAGCAGAGGAAGCAAAGCAGGAGGGAGACCAGGAGGAGGTAGGTGAGATCTCGATTGTTGGCCTTGACAATTGGTGTGTCACGATGTTTATGGAATATCACCAGCACTGCAGAAGTGATCACAGAGAGAGAAAGCGCTAGAGAAACTAAAATGTATCCCAGGGTCTCCTGATAGGTCAGGAAGTGGATCTTCTTGGCAATGCAGTGGTCCTTGTCCATGTTGGAATATCGGTCTTCTGGGCAGGGGTCACAGTTTGCAGAATCTGAAATCAAGAGTACTTCAATTATCCTGAGGATAGGTTAGCTTGAAACAAGGACGTTTCCACCTTTTGGGATCCAGTTCTCTACTTCTATTTTGCATCAACTCATTCAGACAATTTTTTGCAGGGTAGGGCAGGCAGACTTAGATGGATCTCCCATTTCTCCAACAGCTCTTTTATCTTCTGGGAGACTGATAGCACTGACAGAAAAGCACACCCTAAATAATGAAAGCTTCAACTTTACACCCCACTGCTTCACAAAAAGTTTGGTAGCTGGTTTTCCTGGATGTAGTTGGATGCAATAGTAGGACTAGAACATCTAGTAGGGAACCCATTAATTGTGCCCTGAAACTACCCTGCATTAAATTGCTGAGGAGCAGGAAAGGTGGCTGAGGAGGAGGGCAGAAGGCCAGTTTAGATCCATGAATAGAAATTCTGCTGAAAAGCATGAATATGTTGAAGAATATCAATTGACTAAAAAGAACAACAAAATTAATATTTGTTTCTACCGATTGGCTTCCTTGATCCTGGAAAAGCTACATTGAAAGTGTGCTCTACCTGTCTGATTAGAAATGGTCCCTTCTGGGCAAGGGGCACATTGGTAGCAGCAAACCTCCTCACCCTCTGGAACACTTTTCCTCTCTCCTGCCTGGCACCTCTTCATGCCACATCTGGCAAAGGGCACCTTCTAAAAGAGAAAAGACAAATACTGTAGATGTTTTCAGCCATGCTTCACTCATTCATTTGTATAGTTCTCTTTCCATCCTTAGAATATCTTCAGACTCAATCTTTAACTCAAGTGTAGCACAAACCAGGAAAAGCTCTTGGAGGATTAAGGCTAATGCCACTCTAAACCACCAATGGATTCTGGGGTTTGGAACTGGGGCTTGACATGCAAAAGAAGGATTGTGAATTGAGCTACAGATTTTCAGAAGCAAACAGTGATGGAGGTCCAGCTTTATGGGAATCATCCATGGAAACCACTCTTGGCTGCTCTAACTGCATCCTGTGTTTCAAGAAGAATTTCTTCCTGATCTCAACCCTTTTTGATCTATCACAAATCAAACCTCAAATATGTTACATATGAAACAGGCTTTTCATCAAATGGTTGCCAAATTTTTGATTCAGTAACCCATTCTCCAGTAAAGGAGATGTTTTGAATCCCCAGAAGAGAATGACCCTTTTACTGGATTTATTTTACCTTCCAACTCACCTTTTTTGCCCAGACAATTGCATCAGAGTTAATGGTGAAATCCTGTCCTGCAGGAGCCCCTGGATCTATCTGTCCAACTTTCACAGGGAGAAAAGATTGATTGGGGAGGAGAACCCAGTTGAAAAGATCATAACGAGCAGACCCCAGTCTATTCTCTGAGAAGTAGATTTCATCTCCAGCAGTGTTGTTGAACTTGATGTTCCTCAAATAAGGAAGAAGCTGAATGGAAAGAGACCTTCAGAAATTACTAACACTTTTCCACTCTTCCATGAATTTGTTTTCCTTGCAGTGCCTGCCCTGATTTGTGACTTCAACAGACATAAAGGTGCATTCTTTATGGTTTGATGCAGAAAAAAACACAGTTTCATGAATTTTAAACTACAGTGAATCCTGTTGTGTGTGCTAAAGTCAACAGAAAGTATTTTCACGCAACAAGCAGTTCAGTGCAACAAATGGCAAATTAAATATATGGGATGGGATCACACAGCATAAGTCATAGTAACAAAAACCAGGGTTACAATGGATTGAGTCAAGTGTCTTTCTACAACTAGATTCAGTCTACAATATGAAGGAAACAGAGGTGGTTCTGCAAATATATCTACTAGGACTTCAGTTGACCTATTACAGCATCTGGCAGAATTGTCATCTTACTCTGGATCACTCTGTGTAATGGTCATTCCATGAAATTGACAAGCTTTGAATACTTCTGAAAACCTTTTGGGAAGGTCATACATACATGAATCTTATGTACAACTAGTTTGTTTTATTTCTCCTTCCCCCCTTCTACCTATATTGAATCAAATATTATACTTAATCTGTACTATTGTTGTTTTAAAAAATATAGCTGTTTTAATCTGCTTTAACTAAACAACAGGGACAGTGAGTTAATTGATATAGAACATCCCTGTCCCCAGCAATCAAAAAATTACAGGTTATCAGTGCATGTAACATAGATGTGTGTGTGGACAAGAATACCAACCTTGCTGTCAAGTAAAATGAAGCTTTTTATAGCGAGAGCCACACAAAGTTTACTAACCGAACAGGCGGTAAGAACACAGGGGAACTCAGGCACCACACATGTTATATAGAAAGTAAACATAGGGCCAGTCATAAAGGACTCAAATGTCTATACACCAATGCACAGAGTAGGAACAGTAAACAGGGTGAGCTAGAAATTCAGGTAAATGAGGGCAGATATGATATTGTTGTCATTACGGAAACATGGTGGGATAAAACCCACAAATGGAACACACAGCTAGAGGGATTTAAATTATTTAAGAAAAACAGACCAAATAAAAGAGGAGGTGGAGTTGCTCTCTATATAAGAAATCACTACATCTCTACAGAAATAGAGCACAACAATGACAAAAACTGCATTTGGGTAAACATAAAAGGGGGAAAAATGACTGTCATGCCTCCATCCAAGCCTGACTCTGAGGGCGACATGGAGTTCCCTGTTGAGGCCCAGGAGGGGGTGTCTATGGTTTCGGAGGACTGTGGGGAGGAGCAGGCTGAGGCAGGCCAGGGCCCTTTAAGTTTGGAACAGGGAAGGCGGAGTTCAGGTGAGGAGCAAGGCCCCTCCCCACCTGATCCCAGAGCAAGGAGAGCAGAGAGGAGGAGGGAACAACCGAGGCAGGCTCACTTGCTCAGGAGAAGAGCGTCACGCCCCATTCCACAAGGCACACCTGGGGAGTAGGTATTTAAGGAGACACTGTGCGATGGGGCATTTGCCGGGAACAAATGTGAACTCTTGTGATGTGCGTTCCTGTACCTGGACTCTTTGTATTTTGGACCAAGTTTGCTTTTTTCTGATTTCTCTTTGCTGTCCTCAGTTTTGCAGTTTGCAGGTCACAGGCAAGCTGGGCGTTGAAAAGATCATACTTAGTTTGTTATCTGTTTTACTTTACCGAACCTTTTAACTT